AAAATGAATACACAGTTTTTCTGAAAAGGTTGCTGAACGACCTTTGAAATGAAGTATCTTTCTCTTCCTAAGCCCTCTCTTCCATTTAAGATTCAAGGGCGTATGTCTCTACTGAACGGTTATTGTAATACATTCAATAAAATGTCTCCTTTTAAAATAAGTTCGACGTATTTTTGTATTTTGCGTATTTTGAAATTCTCTATCGGAGCCGAAATCAAAAGGGTGGTACGTTTTTAAGTCGACACCCTGTATACTTGTTGAAATGTTACCATACTATTGAATTTCAAATAATTGATCATAATAATAAGCATATGAAGCATTATTTTTTCTAGTAGATTTTAGAATTAGCTAATAACTACGAACAAGTGACTTTGTTGACCATGACCAACTTTCCAGATGAATAACTCGTTCGAGAAATATTTCTCTTTTCTTTGTACCATGCTCCCCATTCGATCCATTAATCATTTAGGTTGTATTCGCACTAGCTCAGACTCTCTTAATTTATATCTTTTGATATCTCAAAGGATCTAAATTGAAGTTCGAATTACTTTGAGGCACTGCTACCGTCTAGAAACTTGAAACAGCTTCGTTTCCAAACCTTTGTTATGATCTGAGTAAATAATCGTAATGGGGTTGAAGAGACTTCAGTGATATTGAATTATAAAATACAGTCCCGTCCTCTCATTTCTGAAGAGAACTAGAGAATTTCTCGTTCCATCATTACCATGGTGAATTCAGTTATTTTCGTTGCCATCTTCATTTCTATTAGTACTTTTTCACAGCGAGTTTCAGAATAAACGGACTGAAATAATGAAGTGATAAAAGCAAAACAAAACTTGATGAATGAAAAAATTCCTTTTGTTCAAACAAGATAATATCACTCATGTACTAGTACACTCCTATATGATTGTAATAATACTATGATAATAATAATGATAAATGAATTCATTGACAGCAGAAATAACATTATTCAATATGGAAAAAAAAAATACAAATTCGTATACAAGATTGAACAGAGTTCATTCTTCCTCTTGCACCTTACAAAAAAAAAAGAAAATGATAAAGAACAAAAAAACAAAGGGCCTAAATTATAATTGTGATAGCGGGTACAATATTTTATTCGAATAAAGAGGGGAGATGAGGCGGATATCGATACAAACATAAGAATGCTACAATTATAATATCCTTACTCTTTTAAAATAGTACTGAATGACTGGATTTAGGCTACGGTAATACAGATATTATTCATTCTTGGTATTATAGTTGATTTCACTTCATACATGAAGTGTTGGTAAACAAGACTTTATGAAAAATAAATAATAGTACGACATTAACGAACTCATATGTGACATAGTTGATCTCAAACCTAACATAATACTCCTAACCATAACATGGCTTAAACCAACCGACCTAGATTCATTGGTTAACATAAGAGGCTACAGTATGTACAGAGCGGACAGATTGAATCGTGTCGGTGGTGGAGGATGTATATATTTATGCAATGAGATCATTAAGTAATAAATCAATAATCGACCCTTAACAACCTCATCATTGCTGGTGACATTAACTACCCCAATATCACTTGGTCCATTAATAGTATACCTGACACAAATAGCGCCACGAGTAATTTCATGCATTTTGTTGCCGATTCAAACCTTTTTCAACTCATCACTGAACCAACTAGATTCCGAATCAACAACGAGCCATTTGTTCTTGACCTCATTTTTACCAACGATGAAAACATCATCACAGATCATGAAATCCTACCACCTATTGGATTATCGGGCCATGCAGTAATCTACGCAACTGTTCAGCTCAACAATCACATGCCAAACAAGTACGAAACTGAAGTTTTCAAAATAATCGATTTTGATCAGTTATCCGAGGAACTTTCTTTCTACCATCGATTAGACACAACTGTTTAACGTATGTGATGACGTTGATATCCTCTGGGAAAAATTCTACTCGACCGTAACTGCCTCTGCCGACAAGAACTCCTGTAACAAAATATGCCAGAAAAATCCTCTCAAACCATGGATCAATGCCGAAATAATGTCACTCATACATCACAAAAAATACTCTGGAAAAGATACAAAAGATCAAAAGTCACAGAAGATTACCAAGCTCATCGAAATTTCTCAAAACACTTGGTATCAACAATACGATCTTCACGTCGTGAGTTCGAAGAATCTATTACAGACTCTGAAAACAATAAAAAACTGTACAAGTTCATACGATCTAACCTGAACACCAAAGTAAACATTCCGCTTCTACGAAAACCTGACGGTTCCTTGTGTTCTACAGAGATTTTGGCGGATTCTTTCACAAGCTCCTTCACGGTCGAGCCTCGAGATGACCACTTACCAAAAATTATAGCAGAACGACTACGTGATAATTTGACTTCGGAAAAAATCAAAAATCATTTATTGAACATTAAATCGAATTCATTTCCTGTTTTGGATGGAACGAGCCCCTTTTTTCTCAAAAAAGGCGATAAACTCAATCCAATTAACTACAGGCCCATTAGTCTTTTATCTGTACCTTTCAAAGTACCATCATCGTAAAAGATATGTCAGAATTTTTAACAAAAAATGCAATCATACCACCAGAACAACATGGTTTCGTCAAAGGTAGATCAACCACCAGCAGTCTACTACAATGCATGAACGATTAGACGACAGCTTACGATAGGAAAATACCGACAGATATCGTTTATCTTGACTTTGCCAAGGCTTTCGACAGGATCCCAGTGAGAAGGCTAATGCACAAACTTGACACACACGGTATTCGAGGCCAACTAAACCTATGGATTGAAAATTGCATGACTTTCTTGGTCAAAGTGGATCACTCTTTTTCTTCGCACAGACAAGTCACAAGTGGAGTTCCCCAGGGATCTGTTCTTAGCCCGCTCCTCTTCGTTGTTTATGCAAGTGATCTTGCTCTTCACATGAAGTCCAGCAAGTCGTTTTATGCCGATGGTACCAAACTGTATGGAAATGCGTTAGTCGAACATCATTCCCTTCAAGAAGACCTCAATTCGATTAGTCAGTGGTGCGAGGATTGACTTCTACCTCTTAACGTCGACAAATGCGTCGTACTCCATCAAGGAAAGAACAATCCACTCCATACGTACACAATAAGCGGCCAATCGTTACGTACAGTGTCCTCACATGTAGACTTGGGAGTGACTATTAATACCGACTTAACTTGGTCCGAACATATAATATCCACATGCAAACGCGCAAACACACTGATTGACCTCATCCGCGAAACGTTCCTCTATCTGTCATAATCAAGTTCCATAAAACTGTACAAAACCTACGTTCGTCCAATCATGAAGTATGCAGGTCCAGTGTGGTGTCCTGTTCTGGTGTGCGATAGGGACTTGTTGGAAAATGTACAGCGTCGAGCCACACGCATGCCCTTTGGTGAAGTGCGTCCAACCTATCCCGAAAGACTGAGGATGGCACAACTGCTAGCTTTTGACCGACGTCGACTCCGTGGGGACCTCATCATATATTTCCGTATAGCTAAGTATAACTATGCTAATCGGAAATAACTGTTTGTCTTCAACAATGTTTCACGGTTACGTGGTCACAGACTCAAATTGAAAAAGGAAAAATTCGCAACGAGGCAGAGACAATATTTTTTGGTAAATCTTATTTTCGAAACATGGATTAACTCACCCAACAATGTTGTGAACAGTTTTGAAAACAAAATACACATTTGCTTATTTGCTTAATCGGCTCTATGCATATATTAATAATTTTTCTTTTCTTTTTGCATGCATTGTATTAACTTGTTGATGTCCTGCATTTTTAGAGTTTCTAAATAGTGTCATCAGTTTTTCAGGAGTGCATATTTCGAGCCTTGTAGATAAAACTATGCTTTTGCAATTTTTTTCAGACAGGCTCATTTAATGTTTGAACTGATGACAGGCATGGAATGAGAGTGAAAGCTTCCACTTTTCTTTATTCACATGGCCCGGAGTCTAAAAAATCAATTAACCTCTTTTCGCTTCCGTCAAAACACTTCAAATATAGAATTTAGATCATGAAACTTTTGCCACAACCAGAGGACACTATAAAACTCAACTAAGTCAACAAAGTCAACTAAGTCAACTAACTACTCAAGTAATCACTAATTGATATTTCAGGTGCTGATGATTATCTAATAATTTATTTATCCTCCACTCAATACATTAAGTTTATTTTGAAGCGAATTTTTCACGGTATTCTGTGAGTTTTGTGATTTTCAAGTGAATAGTGAACCCAAAATCAACAACTTCTTCGTTACGTGTTAAAAAACACTTCAATGTGAGATTACCTCTTGGAAGTTTACAAAACCACAAAGTTTCTTCGTTATCTGTTGATCATATCACGACGATGTTGCTGCCTATCAGGCATTTTTTTTAGAGTTGAACGTCTCCAAATATAAAAAAATCAATTTCGTGAATAGTATATTCCACATAGGTATAGTCTAGAGACTTTTCGCGAATTTTGAGAAATGAATATGAAAAGATGATGTCTATTTATTTCCTGATAGATTCAAACTAGATATTTCTGTAAACCAATATTTCCACAAAAAGAAGTATTTAGTGTTTTTTTTTTCTGATTGATATGGCCGTTACTTGATGAAGATCCATAGTAATTTCAAAAGCTACTCCTCACTGATCTCCACAAACTTTATTTGAAAAATATATTACATGTTTCTCTAGCACAGTAGCTTTTTCACTTGAAAACATGTTGTGATATATTTTTCAAATGAATTTTGTGGAGGTTTTGATCTTCACGATTTGATCTCACGATTTGTCGTGAGGTGTAGTTTTTGGAATTTAGTGTTTTGATGATTGCAGTAGTATGTCTTCTTGAGTAGTTGAAAATGTTAACTGAAAGTGGTTGACAATGTTTCATGGTGTATTTCATCAGTACGGACTTCCATTGTCTAATATAATATAAACAGATTTGAAATCCCGTACCGTAAAATATTAACCGAAAAAGATGCACCCAAAAAGGCCTACTTGATGATTGATAACAGAATTCTCGATCCCGGAAATCCTTTTATCCCAGTCAAGGAAAACTCCGACCTAACAGTATCTTGTGTCGTCGACGAAGGCAACCCCAAACCGCAACTCTCGTGGGAACTTGCTCTCGGATCTTCTGCTCTCTTGGAGATCCCAGAAGTTCCCCTTGAGGTGCTCAATTTGACTGAGACTGTTCGAGATCAGAAAATCGGCTCAAGAACTGATGCTAGGCTTGGAAGAGTGCTGAGAGGTCATCATAATGCTACGCTGACATGTTACGTCAGACATATCGCTCTAGATCTACCGTTGAACGTATCAGTACTGCTCAATGTACAGTGTGAGTACCTTATAATGAAGTATTGCCGTTATCTTATATATTTTGATGAGTACAAAATATCACCCTCCAAATATCAATCCAATCATTTCACATTTCTTTTGGATATCATCTTGGAAAATGTAGGTCAAATTATACCAAAATACTTTTGGTTTTCAGGAAAAATAAAAAACCACGTCAAATACAGTATACAGGGGGACATATTTTGACATATTTGATGTTACTTCCCCTATTACACCCTCAGAGAATGTCACCAATTTTTTTTGAATGGATCACCCTATACTGTTTCGCATTATCAGATGTTCCATGATGAGCAGATTTCAACAAAGTATGAAACATGGTCGGGAGCTACAAATTGATTGAATTGAAAATGAGCCATCCTGAATAACTATTGTAACAATGATTTGCAGGAAAAATAAAAAAACAGGTCAACAAATATACAGGAGGCCACATTTTGGAATATTCGTTCTAGAGACAAATATGGAAGCAATAAATCAGAAAAAGAGATTTTTTAATAATTTTTGAATCAAAATCCGATGACTGGACAATGAAAAAAAAATCTATAGTAAATGTTCTAAAACGTTTCCACAAACTTCCATACAATGGTACAAACGAGCTTCCTTTGCCGCCCTCACATGGTTGAGAATCTCGAAAATCATTTCTCTGCAATTCCTCATGATATTCACTCTCAAATCTTCTGATGGTGTTGGTTCTATCTCATAAACTTCAGACTTCAAATAACCCCATAGAAATAAATCGACAGGAGTGAGATTAGGAAACCTTGGTGGCCGTTCTGTAGAACCTCTTCTGCCAATCCAGCGATCAGAAAAATGATCATCTAAAAATTGTCGCAAACACTATTTCGTTTTCGAATGAATTTATATCCCCCTCAATTGCCCTATTGATGCACTGATAATGCGAAACAATATAGGGTGATCCATTCAAAAAATTGGTGACATGCTCTGCGGGTGCGATAGAGGAAGTAACATCAAGTGTGAAAATGTCAAAATGTTTCCCCCAGTATACTATGGTTGACGTGTTTTTTTTTTAATTTTTCCTGCGAATCATTGTACTAAAAGTTATGCAGGGTGAATCATTTCAAATGGCATGCACACTACAACTTCATAAGGATTATAGCGTCTTTCCCCCATCTCTTACATGACATCTTTTTCAATAATCTAGTTTTCTGTACTAATCTGTATATATCACGGATTGGTTGTCTATCATATCCTTCTGAACATAATGTAGGTTACTTCGTTACTGACTATTCATGAACGGATTTTCTCTTTCTGGGTTGATAAATTGAAAGACGAGATTCTACAAAATAGCCATCCTAATCCACAGATTTACCTCCACTGGACATATGTATATCGTAGATAATTTTCGGTAAGAAATTAGCAGGTGCTGTAAGTTACTACTACTAGTTTCGAATTCTTCAGAATGTGAGTGTGACAAAGTAAATGTTTCTCTTTAGTTTCACCTTCTGGTACGGAATCACATAATTACATATAAGAGGAGGTATTGCATTTCTTCTGACATCGATTAACGTTGTATTATCAAACATTATACAGAATGACTCGTTTCAACTGGAATGCACATGAAATATTTCCATAATATTTGAAGTTGATAAAATTTTAGAAAACAATCAAGTTTCTGTAGGAGATAAATCAATTCATTCAGAGTTAGATTACTCCTAACTGTGCTCATTTAAGTGTATGGTAACCTTGATCTGAAGCTGAACTCCATTTATTCTGGATATTCGGTTAAGAGATGTCCTCCATTCAACAATCCCATGCCATAAGTAGAACAAACACATTCTGAATCAAGTATACCCCGGATGCCAATGTTTGAGATAGCATCGTCTATCTTCTGCAAATTCCACAATGAACGAGAAGCGCTCGAAACTTTTACTCTTCTATTAATCGGATTGAGCAATTTCCTTGCCAGAAGCCGGCTATAACAGTTTCAGTGCAAATATAACAGTAAACTTCGGGATATCAAAGTTTGAGATAGAAAATGAAGTAGACGAATATACGAATATATTTCATCCCATAGTGTCGTAGTCACGATAACTGATGTGTTTGTTGTTGTACGTAGAAAATTTGAAGTAATATTGACGAGTTGCTGCAAACTTTCGATAAATGGATCCTGAAAGCAATCGAAAACAACTTGAGAAAGTTCTAGGTTGATGTTAACATCTGAAATTTCATTCAATTCTCTTCCATATATTTATATCATATACCGAAAATGGTCAATTTATCAATCATATCATCTTTCTTTTCAACTCGAAACACAAAAAAATTCATATATCTTCTAAAATTGAATCAGACCAACAAGGTAACAATCAGAAATGGTATCCCACAACAATTGAAACGTTAATACTTTTTTCCTCTTTCTTGAATCAAATTTGAGTGAGTTTTAAAAATATATTCGAGAGAGATCATCCGATTACCTTGCTTATAAAATCATTCAGGAGAATTCAGTCTAATTACAAGAGTAAAATAAAAAAGTTGAATAATAATAATGAGGAGGTATCCTTATTTTGATTTAGAGTTACGCAGACAAAAAGTAATTAAAGTGGAGAACTCATTTCACAGTGAATATCAACTCAACTTCGATAGACTGTGGAAACCACTGGTGAAAAATAAAGTTGTTACTACAAATATACTTGCTGATAAATTAGGCAATATCATGGAGTTACAATTTGTTTTGTACACTTATTCTACAATGTTTGTATTTGATGCATAAAATAAATGGATATATCCAAAAGGAACTCGTTGAGCTATACTATTTGAAGATATTGTAGGCTAAAGCGCATGAGAAATGTATCACATCACAAGAAATTTTCAGAAAAATATAAAATATAGGTTCCTAGCACGCAAGATCGATCTCCAACCTAACTGAATACTGAAATAAAAATTAAAAATTATTGGAGAATAAATATCCAGATATATATAACTACATTCTGCTGATCGCCGGAGGGTCTCTCATCAATAATAGTCAAGCCAAGTTAGGGAACATCTGAAAAGAATAGGTGTGTATAACGAAGACTATAACTTCAAGCAATGCACCAATGGAATAGGGATGCATATTTCAAGCGAATATGAGGCACCAGAACGCATGATTGAAAGAACATCTTAAAAAAAATTGTACAAACTAGTACAAAAAATAAGATTGTTGGATGTCATGGAAAAGTGAAAAGTTAAATGCAATAAACCAAGGAGACTACAGTATTACCAGAGAAGTACCAAAAATAAATCACAGCAATAGCTGAACAGTGCCACTGTTTTTCGAATTTGGAAGCGCGAGCGGCTAGTTTCTTCATAGGTTTAACCATCATGGCTTGCTGTCCGATGACTAACTTTCAGGCTTCGTAAAGCGTAGTTATGCCTTGTCAGGTAATCAGTTGTATTGGTACCTGTACTTGCACCTGTACTTGCACCTGAACTTGTACCTGTACTTGTACCTGTACTTGTACCTGTACTTGAACCTGGAACATTAACAATCTTGCTGCCTGTTGTCATCCCGTTTGTTATTCTCGAATTCATAAAAATGCGGTTCCATATTCGATTGGGGTTCACTGCTTCTTCTTTTCTGTTGAAATTCTCTGTGAGTTTGTGGATCGCTATTGCCTCCCGTACCAGTCGGCTATAGTATCCCTGGTTGGAGGCATATAGTTCTGTGTTTTCAAACAAAATTATGTGGTCTCCTTCACTAAGCGCGTGTTCTGCCACAGCTGACTTATCCGCTTGGCCTAGTCTGCATTTCCTTTTATGTTCTTTCAATCTTGTTCCCATGAATCGTTTGGTGGTTCCGATATATACTTTCCCATAAGTGCACGCTATGCCATACACCCTTTCTGCTGAAAATTGGTCTCTTTTGTCTTTAGCCGACCTGAGGCTTTGTTTTATCTTCCTCGTGGGTTTGAAGATTGTTTCGATGTCGTGTTTATCTAACAGTTTTACCTAGGGATAAACGATAGATATGCGCGTGCAACTATCTGATCCTTTTCCTCTTTTTGAACCGTGGTGCTCTTTGGTTACATGGCTTTCCTGATCTCGGAGGCACTGTATCCATTTGATCTCAAGGTCACTTCAAGGTATTTCGTTCCTTCTCCAGATGTTCTGGTTCATATATTTTCCGAGCCCGTTTTGTTAGAGGGGAGATGACTCCTCGTAAATACGCTTTACGAAGCCTAAAAGTTAGTCATCGGACAGCAAGCCATGATGGTAAAACCTCTGAAGAAGCTAGCCACTCGCGCCAGCGAAACGTCAGGAAGAAATTCCAAAAATCCACGGCTTTCAAACTCGAAAAACAGTGACACTGAAAACCTCAGCCGCGAAAGTCTAAACCATTTTGTCAATAGCTGAACAATCTTACAGGAAATAGGCTACTGGCATGCTTTTTTCAAGAAGAAAAGACGAGCACTACATGAAAATCCTTTAGACGCTCTAAGAGCGGTGCCTGTGCGAAAGTAGCGATTCATATTGGATTCTATTCGCTATCTATTTTTTCATTACAATAACATGTTGACTTAGACCCTGGCAAAGACCAGCGATGAGACCTGGGGATTGAGCTTGTCGCCCACTTATCCGGCACAGATGAGCTCACAGAGCTGTCCGTCGCCTAACGGCGGCGGGTAGTAAATAGCATCGCCCACTTGTCCAGCTACAACCAGCATACTGAAGGTTCTGTTTGTTCGATTTCAAAGTAAGTGCAGTTGACATCGAGCGGTAACAGAAACATGTCTACTAGCGGTTCTGACGAAGAAGTTGTCATTATAGTGGCCGCATTATTGAATGTAGAAGAAAATAATCACCAAAAAATGTTGTGGGTCCATTCGATTAATCAAAAGAGAGCGAATCTGGAGAAGTTTTTCGCCATCTTTCCAACTATCTGACAAAAGACAAGGAGAAATTTTTCCAGTATTTCCAGAACATCTGGATATTCCCGAGCTTGATTTAACAAGCAACTCAATTCTTACCCATCCATTTTCATAGGTA